GACGCGGACGCGGCGAGGCGCCCCCGCCCTCCCTTCCCTCGCTGCTTCCACGCGGGTTGGTCGGTGGGTTTTGGTTTTCTCCCCTCCCCCCCCTCCTTTCCTCTCCCCTTAATTAAACCAAAAATAACCCAAAATGTTTAAAATCGCTGCTGGGAGACGGAGGGGAAACATACTAAGCGAGCAGATGGGAGGAATAAGCCACTGTGACTCCATACATAAAATGGCCATGGAGGCGGTGAAAAATGAAACTAAAAAACAACTGTTTTCTATTTACAAATTTAAATAAACAGAACAGCCTTCCCCGCGGTGTTTGTCTAAGTGCAGCAGCATTGCTGCTGTGTAGGTCATGAAAAGGTTGGTGCATAGTTTAAAACTTCCCATTCTGCTAATTTCTTAAAGAACAGTCGTTCATAGTCTGAGCACAAAAGCTCATGATTTAATGAGGAACAGAAACAAAATCTCTGATTGTTGGTGTTTCAAACTTCATTGGAGTCCTCTGGCAACCACAAGTTGATCCTCTGCAGCTTCAATACCCTTTAGCCCTCCATATAAGAGTACATGCTGAATAGAGGACAATGCCTGGTTGTTATGTTTATTTACCCTTACTACAAGCTGGGTTAACCTCTTCAAAACAGCTTTACTAAGCCCGTTAACCACACGGCCCACATGACCTGTAGCCGTATCCCTAATGTGATGTAAATCTGACTCGAGACCATATGCACAAGTTCTGCTGCATTGTGTCTCCGAAAACTACAAGTTTATTGCCGTCCAACCCTTCCCCGGGCTGGATGCTTCCAGGAGGAAACGCTCTGAATAGCGACCGCTGAAAAAAAGAGAAGAAAGTCAAGAGTCCCGCATTGTCGGAGCAATATTTTTAATGGCTGTTGCACATTTACAGAAGGGGGTGGGAGGGGAATGCGAAGCCAGCACAGGGCAATGATTTTCATCACAATTATTTCAACCGGTGCGTAATTATTTGAGGCTTTGCCCTTTCTGACGGGAGTTCTGCACTGGAGCGGGAAAGAAGCGTAGATACAAACAGAAGCGATTGACCTGGTTTTCATCTGCTCTTTTAACAGAGCTCACAGCTTAGTGAAGTCATAGTCCTGCGTTCGTAGTAATTATCGTGATGTCACACAGTCAGTGATGTAACTTCATCGCAGGCTACGAGTAGTACATGGGCTGTGCAGGAGCGAGCAGCGGTTTGCGTTGGGAATAGTTATAGTAATTAGCAATTCTGGCAAGAAAATTATGACAGATCTGCAAAATGGAAATGAATTTCTGCTTAAGCTTGACTTTAATTCCCCCCCCCCCCAAGTATTATAGTCATCTTTTAAAACAGCTACTGGGGCCCCATGGTGAGAGCTTCATTTACCAGCTCATTTTTTCTTGATGGCTGTGGCAAGCGTAACAATGTTCTGTGCCTGCTTCAGTAATGGCATGTCGATCATGCTCCCGTGGAAAGTAAACGCTCCCTGGAAAAGAGAGAATATAAACTTCCTGAGAGGACCTCTGGAAATCATAGTTTCCTTGTCTTTTTCTTTAAAAACACATCCGTTCGGCAAGAAACATTAGCTCCCACAGGAATCCTGAATGAGTTTTAGGAGCCAAACTAACTGAGACGGGGCAAACGCGTTTAAAGAAATGCGGTGGGTGCCGAGTGCTGCGAAGAGGAGGCAAAAAGAGACAGAAAAGAGAAGCCCAGCATGCGGCCTGCCTGTGTCAGCCTCTCTAGCTGGCAAACGTCGAGGGCCAAGAGCAGCGAGGCCGTGCGTGCCAGCGGGGGGGTTGGCGGACACAGCGCCCGGGGGGGCAGCTCTGCTCCCCACATCCAGCATCGTCCTCCAGCGCCGGGGCTGTGCCACAGGGCCGGTGTGAAACTGTCCGCGGACAGACAGCAAAGCCAGAAGCGTTCTCTTTGTCAGGAAACAGCAACAGGCGTTTGGGGGGGGTGGAGGGAAGTTTTCCTGACTCGGGAGTGCGTTGAGGTTGTGCTGCTGCACCTCTCCATCAGGTCTCCGGTGCTAAAGATAGGCTGGGCCTGTGCTTAGAGCCAGGGGCTGGGATGAAAGCTGAAAAAAACCACGTGGCTGGTGCGATAATGTTGCCCAAATCTGCTCTGGAGCCAAGGTAAAGCCCACCTGAGCACTGCATACAGGGACTTTCCCTGAGCGGGTACAGAACTAGCCAGTGTGCCTCAGAGGTGGCGATCGGAGAACCAGGTTTCAGAAGTCACGGTGTATTTCTAGGGATTTTGTGTTGGTACCACGGTGACAAGTTTAAAATAATTAACTACGAATCGTAGTTAAATCTTAAACAGAAGACACATGTTTCAAATAGGGCCAAACCTGACTTGTTCCTTTGGATGCTTTAATCCGCACGTGTTGCTGAGGTAGGATTCTGAG